CAGGAAAAACTTAGTGACGTTTTACTCCTCAATATTTACTTTATATTGTCTGGTAGAAATGTAAAATCATAGTTATTTCTTTTTCAGTCTTCATGTTTTGTGACAAATTGAGCGTAGAATAAGGGTTTTAGTAGATATGTGAAATACCCACAAAGGTTTTTACTAAAATATTTCTGCTTTTACTTTGAGAAACTACTTGGATTCTCTGTTTCAGAAACATGAGATCAGTTTTTTTTAACTATTGCATTAGATTCCAGTTGTGCCTTTGCCAGGCTTGTGAAAGGATCAGTATTGTGTGATACTGGTTAAAAGGTATAGATCGAGTTATATCCTTCACATTTGGTGACTTGTGGCCCTGTTTGTGAACTTGTAACACCTGCATGTGCAGTTGCACCAGGTGAGTTTGATTGAGTCACAGCAACTGCTTGAAAAGAGCTAGAAAAACTGGGCTTGAGTAGAGCAAAACAGCCCCAGCTTTTGCACAGAAGGGCCTGAAGCTCTGGGGGCTCCTCTGCTGCTCGGTGGACAAGGCCATTTTACAGACCTGGATGCAGGTAAGAGATACTGGTTTTATTCAAACTCTTTGGCTTTCTTTATCCGCTTTGCAGATTGTCCCAAGCGGGAGAAGTATTTTTCTCTGGTAATTTTTGCATGGATTTTGAGGGAGGAGGAACATTTTGCTTTGACTTTGTGACTTTGGATCATGCGATTTGCACTTCATTTCCATGCATCTTATCTGCACTGCCATGTTCTTTGCAAATGCATGTAAAATGAAATTCAAATGAGTGAACGGACATCCGAATGGGCAATACACTCCTCATGTCATGCCTGCAGCTCCCTTTAGACCTCAGAATGATTTCTCTGCATTCTGGATATATCTCGGAAAAAGCCGTTATTTAATTAATCACAAGTGGGAAACACCAGCAGTCTTGACAGGAACGTGAGGTGAGGTGAGCCTCTAGGTGAGGCTTTCAGCACAGTCTGGCAAATAAGAGATTCCTATAAATCATCTGTACTGCAGGTTGCCTTGCAACCAGCTGGATCTGAGATGCTTTTGGCTCTTGTGGATCATGAAGCAGGTGAATGTCTACATAAAGGATGGATACTTTACTTCTGCAATTTAAAAATTCTACTGCTAGTGTAGGAACCATCTAATTAAAATATAGCCATATATTTTAGCCAAATTTAGCCAAGAGCAGCCAAGAGTGGGTCTGGTTTACTGTCCATATTGAGAGTTGTCTTCTGGCCTCTCCTTGATGGAATTCAGGAAATAATCCACTGTGTTCAGATCGGGTTTAAACAAGATGATGCAGCATTTAGGGATGTAGCAGGTCCCTAAGATACCCAGACTGAGCATCAGAATGGTACAAATCTGGGTAACAGGCCTGAGGACCGTATTCAGCGTGGCAAAAATGACAACAAAGAAAATCCAGATGATGTAGATGGCAATGGCAAACGTGATGGTCCGATCACAGCAGTCACACGAGGCTGGTAGTCAGTGTAGTTGCACGGGGCTTCGATGCTTGTGGTGCCATTTTGGGTCAGAAATGGCAAACTGGATTGTAAGGCCACAACTGGCTCGAAGCAGGTGTCGCGTATGTCATAGCCCAGCTTCACTCCTGGGAGAAGCGAAGGGGAGTTGTTGATCTGCTCAATGGCAAACTTCATCGCAAGAGCCCATATTAACCCATCTGCAAACAACCTGCAATGAGAGGAGACAGGGAATTGTGCGAAACCCTAGGAATATTCCCAGCCTTGTGGCCTGCAAAGACAGAAAGGTTTTAGATCATGCTTTTCAGAGGAAGGCTCCTTAATCCTGTGCTTTGCTGCTGCCAAAGAACAAGGTAGGCCCTGGCTTGTGTTTTATCTTCTCTTAACATACAGCTCTGGCTGTGATATGAACCACATTGCTGTAACTGATAACGAAACGCTGACCTTAACTCTTCACAGGTAAAGGTTGTCTCCTCCTTTGCCTTGTGAACAGTATCGGATGTGTTTTTGCAGTGTTAAAAGCTCTAGCACTGCCTCAGTGCACTTCACCTGTCTGCAGAGTGCAGTGCACACTTCTCATGCCATCAGAAAGCAGAGGCAGCGTTTACATCTCTGTGTCCCCACTAAGGAAGCCGGTGTCACCAAAAGCTTTTATCCAAGTGCGTTGGCTGCAGCTGAAGTTTTGCTGCATAGTAGCATCAAGAAAATACAAAAGCAGTTTCTGTTTCAGAATCGGAAATAGTCCTGGTGCTGGCACAGTACCACAGTGCTCCAGCACCACAAATCTTTATTTCCATCTCACCTGTTACATCCTTTTGTGAGACCTTCATCTCACCGAAGGACTATTCTCTTCTCCTTGCTTTTCCCAGCCCAACCAATCAAATTTATCCTGTGCTAATGCAGCTTTTCTCTTGCCTTTCACACGTAACTAAGGTGGGTTCCGATCGCGCCGTCAGGTTTGTGGTGTCCATTCCGAAAGGGAACAAGCCTCCTATGATATAATCCCCAGCCCTTCCAAACGGAGCCGACAGGCACGTCGGCTGCCGGGCTGCCGCTC